GAGTAATTTACGTTTAATTTCATACTTTTTCAAAGGGTGGTGGATAAAATAGGGAAGATGACATGCTAAGAGAAAATATTTCACGTGGGTCACACTAGGGGAAATTCAGAATTTTTTTAATATTGTGTTGTAGAATTAAGAACTTTAAACTTATATCCTATTAAAATATGGATTATTAGCAAAGACGTTATTCTATTCTAATTGGTATAACATAAACAAAAAGTAGTTGAATAAAAATTTGAATGTAAGACACTAAACTTTGTGTCATGTGCAGTAAAAGATACCTGTGGTGATAGGGTTAACTGAAAGACTGCCAAATTATGTGAAGATATACACATTATATTGAAAGCTGGAGGTATTAAATCTATAAAGACTTTAAATGAGTACAAAGTTAGTATTGAGAGAGTTAATATTATATTTCATGTTCCTGTTAATACACAGGTTCTTCTGCTTGACATCAAGTATTTTTGACTGTGATTTGTAATAGTCTATAAAACTTTTCAGTTATGGCCTTTTGAATCATTTTTGTTTGCTACTGTAAGTTTCCATAACATAAAGTTGGTGAGAATTGCTGTACAGTCCTTAATTTTTCTAATATTCCTGCAGGACAAACTCACACAAGATCAGAAGAAATCTGCACTTGGGAATATTCCTTCTCTGCTTGAGATAGGAGGGCACACATATTTTTTTGGTGGATTCTTAGTTGGTCCACAAGTAAGTGAATATTGTCATGTGAAGAAGCAGTATTTGAAACAACTAATATTACTGCATCAAGTCTTAACTTTATTTGGTATTTAGTGACTGAAATTACAAGTATAGTCTAGTTTCCAGGAATGATAATAATTATTTAAAGTTTGTATTTTTCTTCAAGCTAAAAATGAATAATTTTCCAAGAGAAATGGTTGCAGAAGAAATGTTTATGCTATAAATGATTTTGATGAACTATTTGTTGCACAATTTATATATAGTAGCCTGGATAAAAAACTAAAGTAGGTTCTCAAACTCCACCAAGACAATATTATCAAATGTTTTAATATATAT